CCATCCACTTTAGTTTGTGGAGTTCTTGGGGTTCTCTGAGCTTGGGTGTTTTCTTGCAAACGTTTCGTTACCCAGATAGGTAACATCTTCAGTGCTAGAATGTTACCTAGCCGGGTAATGAAACATTTGCGAGAAAACAACCAAGCTCAGAGAACCCCAAGAACTCCACAAACTAAAGTGGATGGGATGGCACCATTAGTAATTAATTGTTATTATTGCTTGATTTTATTTTACAGTTTCAAATTTTATTTAAAATATGTTTTATTTAAAATAAAACATTTTTACAGTATATTTTTAATGTATTGTTGACTACCATGGTTAACTACCAAAAATCTATGGATAGTGGATATAAATGTAATAAATAAATATACTCACAATTGAATGTTACTCCACATATGCCACTTAATATTGTAGGTTATTTATTCAATAGGAAATCTGTCTCATACAGGGTAAATTATTTTCAACTGTATAAGCTAAGGTGATTTATAAAAGGATACAAATTGATGAAATGTTTCATTAATATTCAGTAGCCCAGAGCCTTTTTAATTTTGAGATAGAACTAGATAAAAAGGGGAAGCTTGGCTTTGAACCTGGTTCTTCAGTTATGGCAGAAAGAGTTGCTGATTTGACTTTGAGATTTTTGGTTACACTTCTGGAGCAGCAGACTGGTACTGTACAATTAAAAGATACTGAAATATTGATCATCCAATAAGATGACAGCAATATGATGGTAAATTTGTGATTTGAACAATATGTCAGTTGTTAAAATAACTTGCCTCTTTTGTGCTTTTGGGAACAAAATATTGTGGATATATAGGCTTAACTTGTCGTTTCAGGATGGATTCATGCTGTACTCACTTCTCAGGACTGTATGGCTTTTGGAGGAAACTTCTTGCACAACCTCAATATCGGCATGCAGCTCAGGTTAGAGTTGGAATTTCCTCTTTTATCCAAGTATTGTCTTCCATAAACTTAAACATATGTCTTTGTTAAATTGGTGTTAAATTGTATGATAGTCTTATAAAGAGAGAATGTTGATATTTTGCAAAGAATAGACTATTATTATCTGATGATCTCTAGATAAAATGAATAGATTATTCTGATCCACTTGCCTCTTTTAACAAGATGACATAGAAAATTACATTAAAAACTGAAATTTGCTAAACAGGTATGAAAGAGGAATATATATTTTTAATCAGAGTTACTGACAGTACTATTTAAGTTGTTCTCAATATAATGGCAAACTTCTGTCTCTTAATATTTGAATTCATATAATTTATAAAAACATACTTCATATATCTGAATGCAGCGGATGGAACTCTTCATCCCAGAGCTTGAAAAAGTTGTCAGTTTGGGCCTTACTACACTTGACCATGAATTTTGATAGATTTTGATTGTCAGGGAATATTTCATTTTGCTACACATCATGAACACATTGAACAGTTATTACATATTACAGTGATACATATAAAATAATCCTTCTAAATTGTTTATTTAGGTGTTATGAAATGGAGAAAAGGCTAAAAACCCCAGATCTTTTCAAATTCCCTTTCTTTGAAGCCATCTGTTGGTTTGTGGCCAAAAACTTACTGGAAACTTTGAAAGGTAACTAATTTAATATTTTAAGAAGGATTTGAGGCTAGGCTTTTTTCTATGATTTGGGGGACTGTGACCACATCACAGTCAGAGAAGCAACTTATTTATACTTTGTAATTAAGAAAGGTCAGTGTAGTCACTTTATTCAGTCTTGAAATATTATGCAGACTATACTAATTGAAATATTTGCAGTTGAACAACAGTAGCAACCCTGCACATATCATCCATTGCACTTGAATTCAAGGGCTTTGATAAAGGAAGTAACTGCATTTGTTTGGGTTTTTTTACTTTGGGATGTGTCTTCAAATAATGATGTCAAATACAGTTTTATGGATATGAAAATAAATATTTTCTCACTCTAAAAGTATAGACTGCTGTTTGATTCCCACTCTTTTCTTAAATATGTACTCATTTTCCCCTCTCCTCTACACCATTCTCTTTCTCTTTTCTGGGAGGATTGGTTATGCTGTTATTGCCATGTAAATCATGATCCCCAAGCTTGCCAGCTAACAGTTTGGGCTAGCACATGATTCACAGTGAAGATACTCTGTGGAATAGCTATCCCTGCAGATTATCCTACCATGCACAATTTTAGTGATTTGTACACCCATAGTGCCAGCACAGATGGCTGCACAGATGGCTTCCCACAGCTGCAGGATTGCCCATGTGTGATTTAGAGTCCTAGCCAACCTCTTTGGCTTTTCCATGTTGATGGTAATAATAATAATAATAATAATAATAATAATAATAATAATAATAATAATAATACCACCACC